CACCGACACAGACACAAACAAGACACACACAGACACATACAGCCACACAGACACACACACACACAGAAGCACACACAGACACATCCACAGACACACAGACACACGGACACACACAGACACACACACACACACAGACACACACAGACAGACACACACAGGCACATACACAGACACACACGCACAGACACACACAGACAAACACACACACAAAGACACACAGACACACAGACATACACTCAGACACACACACAGACACACACACAGACACAAACACACACAGACAGACACACACAGACACACACACACATGATTACACACATTCACAGACAGACATATACAGCGTCACATGCCCAAAGACACACACAGAGACACACACAGGCACACACAGACACACACACAGACATAGACACACAGACACACAGACACACAGACACACACAGACACACAGAGCCATACACACAGACCCGCACACACACAGACACATACACACAGGCACGCACCCACAGAGACACACCAACAGAGACACACCAACAGAGACACACACAGAGACACACGCACACAGCCGCACACAGAGAAACGCATTGAGACACACACAGGGACACACACAGAGAGACACACACAGAGACACACCCTCAGAGACACACACACACATATGTAGACCACACACACGCCGACATTCACAGAGACACGCACAGAGACACACACACAGAGACACACACACACACAGACACACACACACAGGCACGCACAGAGGCACACACACAGACACACACAAAGACACACATACAAAGACACACACACAGACACACACCCTCACAGAGACACGCACGCACACACACAGGCACACACACAGGGACACACACAGGGACACACACACACAGACACAACCAGAGACGCACACGGAGACACACACACACACACACACACACACCGAGACACACAGACAAACACAATATCCCGGCAAAGCAACCTAACAGCGATGTGTAGGAGCATATCTGGAAGCATACCCCTTAAGATTCAGATGAGAATCCAGTTGTAGAATTATGCTGTTCTCGCAGTCGTGGTCGCATTCGCGATGCCAGTCGCAGCGGCAACGGCAGTCGCAGTCACAGCCTCAGCCTGCCTCAGCCTCAGCCTCAGCCTGCCTCAGCCTCAGCCTGCCTGCGCCTCAGCCTCAGCCTGCTTCAGCCTCAGCATCAGTCTGCCTTCAGCCTCGGCCTCAGCCTCAGCTTCAGCCTCAGCCTCACCCTGCATTAGCCTCAGCCTCAGCCTGCCTCAGCCTGCCTCAGCATGAGCCTGCCTCAGCATCAGCCTGCCTCAGCCTCAGCCTCAGCCTGCCTCTGCCTCAGCCTCAGCCTGTTTCAGCCTCAGCCTCAGTCTGCCGTCGGCCTCGGCCTCAGCCTCAGCCTGCCTCAGCCTCAGCCTGCATCAGCCTCAGCCTCAGCCTCAGCCTGCCTCAGCCTCAGCCAGCCTGCCTCAGCCTCAGCCTCAGCCTCCTCAGCCTCAGCCTCAGCCTGCCTTCAGCCTCAGCCTCAGCCTCAGCCTTCAGCCTTCAGCCTCGGCCTCAGCCTCAGCCTGCCTCAGCCTCAGCCTGCCTCAGCCAGCCTCAGCCTCAGCCTGCCTCAGCATCAGCCTGCCTCAGCCTCAGCCTCAGCCTGCCTCAGCCTCAGCCTCAGCCTGCTTCAGCCTCAGCCTCAGCTGCCTTCAGCCTCGGCCTCAGCCTCAGCCTGCCTCAGCCTCAGCCTGCATCAGCCTCAGCCTCAGCCTCAGCCTGCCTCAGCATCAGCCTGCCTCAGCCTCAGCCTCAGCCTGCCTCAGCCTCATTCAGCCTCAGCCTCAGTCTGCCTTCAGCCTCGGCCTCAGCCTCAGCCTGCCTCAGCCTCAGCCTGCCTCAGCCTCAGCAGCCTGCCTCAGCCTCGTGGCCTGGGAAGGGCCCCTGGGAACTCGAAGAACACGAAGTGGCCTACAGTTGGCCCCGGGCATTCAAAATCATGCCCAGGAAAGGAATGGAGTTCTGGGAACTCGAAGACCACGAAGTGGGCTACAGTTGGCTCCGGGCATTCAAAATCATGCCCAGGAATGGAGTTCTGGGAACTCGAAGACCACGAAGTGGCCCACAGTTGGCTCCGGGCATTCAGAATCATGCCCAGGAATGGAGTTCTGGGAACTCGAAGAACACGAAGTGGCCTACAGTTGGCTCTTGGCATTCAAAATCATGCCCAGGAATAGATAGAGTTCTGGGAACTCGAAGACCACGAAATGCGTTACAGTCGGCTAAAAAAGGAGTCTCCGGTTTTCCCCGGCACCCGTCTGGCATTTGCCCAACCCCCCTGGGGAGTCATGATGCTCTCTTTTGCGCCCGCTAGAAACCTATCAGTCTTCGCTGTTAGGTAAAAACACGCAGACACACAGACACACACAGGCACACACACAGACAGACACACAGACACACACAGACACACATAGACCCACAGAAGCACAAACAGACACACACACAGACACACACGGAAACACACAGAGACACACACACACACACAAACAAAAACAAACACACAGATACACACAGACGCACACAGATACACACAGACAAACACAGAGACACACAGACACACACAGGCACACACAGACAGAGACACACAGAGACACACAGAGACACACACAGACACACATGGACACACAGACACATGCAGGGAGACACACAGACACACGTAGACACGCACATATACATGCGAACCACACAGAGACACACAGACACACACACACACACACACACACGCATACGAGTCACACAGAGAGACCCACACTGAGACGCACAGAGAGACACACAGAGAGACACACAGAGAGACCCGCACAGAGACGCACAGAAGGACACTCAGAGAGACACACAGAAAGACACACAGAGGGACACATAGAGAGACACACACGGAAACACACAGAGAATTACACACAGAGACACACAGAGAGACACACATAGAGACACACATAGAAACGCACAGAGACACACACAGAGACACACACAGACATACACAGAGACACACAGACACACACACGGATACACAAAGTCACAGACACACCCACACACATACACATAGGCACACAGACACACACACACAGGCACACAGGCACACAGACACACACACACACACGGAAACACACACACACACACACGCACACACACACACGCGCAGCTCGGGGAAGCGAGATCGGGAAGCGAGCACCGGGGCCCCCAGTCTGCCCGAGACCCGCGCGCTCCCGAGAGCAGCCCCCCAAAGATATCGTGGAGGCCAGCCAGCAGCTCGGCTGGCGCCCGCGCGCACGGCGCACCCGACAGACACAACAGACTGAAGGGGCCCTGGGGCACACACAAATAAATATACACACATAGGTAAACATATTCCCCGTCGTTTCTCGTGTTTTCTGGGTTTTTGCCTGCCCCACCACCTCCCATAGTTTCCCATCTTTTCCAGGAGATCGAAGATTAATTGTGTCTGTGTGTTTCTTTCCCTCCTGGAGCATACCGATACCGCTGCTCCCGTCTGCTCCCCAGACCTCTCCCGGGGTGCGCTCTGAGCGTTCTGACCAGAATCTCGAGGCGAATCTAGCCGTGGCGACGAGGGCCTCCCAGGAGGCCCGAGAAGGCGAAACCGAGTCAGGGGTGGGTAGGCGGCAGCGGCACCTCTTCCGACTCTAACGCAGGGGTGCGTCCGCTCCCGCGGTGACGAGATACGACACGATACGATACGATACGATACGATACCACCGCTGCGGACACCGTCCGGGCCTTGCTAAGACCAGGTTGGCAAGGCCGTGGTCTCAGAAATCTGGCGTGCCTGGCCAGCATGCAATGCGAGACGCACGCATAACAAGCCGTGAGGGGAGGGAAGGGGGGAGGAAGGTCCTGAAGGTCGAAGGGGGTTCCACGAGAAGGGCAGGAGGGCCCTGAATCGAATCGATACGTCGGATCGGCGATCGAAATGAATCGGATCGGCGGACATCGGCAGCCGAGTCGGGAAAAATCGAATCGGCGGAAATCGGCAGACTCGTGTGCGTCCAATACGAAATCGAAGCCCGAATCGGAATCCCAAGCCGGATCGAATCGGAATCGGAAGCCATCGAAATCGAATCGAACCGAATCGGAGGAATCGAAATGAGCCCTGGCTGGATCCGATCTCAGCCGCACGTCAGGCTGTCGGAGCGCGGTCGGGAGGACCAATGTTGGAATGGAGGAACAATTTGGAGGGGAGGGCCCCAATCGACTAGACTGAAAAGACTGGCAACACCAAATGGCGCGCCGCCCAACGCCCCCCCAACCCACACCACAAGGAACGCGTGGACCCTTGGATCCCTGAGACCGCTGGGTCCCCTAGACACGTAGATCCCGCCCTGGACTCCTGCACCTCCGCATCCCAAGACACTGGGATCCCTGGACCACTGGGACCCTTCGGATCCAAGCTGCTCCTGGGGCCTTGAGATCGTAAGGATCCCTGGGGCCCGTGGACCTCTGGACTCATGGGATCATGGACCCGTGAGCCCTTGGGGACCCCTGGGGAATCTTGGGATCGATACATCCGCTGGGCCTCCGCGACCCCGTGGGATTGCTGTTCACATGGAGCCCCTGGAGCCCTTGCAGCCCTAGTAACCCGTGGGGCCCGCTGGATCCTCGACCCACATACGGCTGGAGGGCACTTCCTACTCACCGGTGCACACACCCACGCACACGCACACGCACACGCAGCACCACCAACACACACACAAACACACACAAACACAAACACAAACACAAACACAAACACAAACACAAACACAAACACAAACACAACACACAAACACAACACACAAACACAACACAACACAACACAACACAACACAACACACAAACACAAACACAAACACAAACACAAACACAAACACAAACACACAAAGACAATCACACACAAACACAAACACAAACACACACACACACACACACGCACCTGAAAAGCGTATACACTGATCCCAGGCTCAGGGCCAGATTGACTAGGATCGGTGTCGGCATACAGCTGGCGCCCCCCAGGTATGGAGGGCCTGCTCATTGACAGCAGACCTGCCCCGTGGATTCAGTTTTCGAGCACGCAGACTCGCCGAGGGAACAGCTCGGCGTCGGAGCATGAACGGATCCTCTCGGGACGCAGACCGCCGCAGACCGTAAGCCCCTACTGCCAGCCACCAGCCGCGTCCCCCAACCGCTTGGCCCACACTTCGGTCCTGCCCGTCCGTGCACGCGCGCTGACTTGCATCATATACATGCATGTGTTGGGTCAGGTGCGGTTAGCGTTATTGGCAACGACCACGCCGATGCGATATGTGTGCGCAGACTCTGTGAACCATACCGATATCATACTGATACCTAGCTGATTCTCGGAACCACAAGTGGACAGAAGATTCATTCCAATGCGAAGAAGAGGAGGAAGCCCTAGGCGGAAAACAGGACAGCCAGGAGAGAGAGAGAGAGAGAAGAACGGAAAGAACAGGTGTGACAGACGCCCTGAGGCGCGTCGGCGCTACATGCCGCACTTAGGCGGGCACGGAGAAGTTCAGCGTTAAAAAAATTCTACGGAAGGGCGCGCGTGGCTACCAGCAATCACGACGGACAAAGATGCGGGCCAGAAAGCCAGGGCGTTCTTAGTAGTTGCGACCCCGCACGCCAGCGCAAACCCTCACCCCACAGCCTTCTGCCCGCTCCCTGAGGCCGGTGCCCCGGCCGTCCCAATGCTGAGAGGTGTGCCGGGCTCCCTCGCGCCGCCGCCAGCCCCGCCCCGCTGGGCCAACTCCTACTTGGCGAGCGCGCCCGTGGGGCACCCGCCCTGCACGAAGCGCAAGACCACCGCCCGCGCCTCCGCGCTCGCTGCCATGGCCCTGCTGAGCCGCTGCTCGACCTCTTGCGTGGTCGGCGCGGCGCGCGGCAGTCTGCAGAGGCGGCAGCCGCCAAAGGGCAGCACGGCCTGCCAGCACAGCGCGAGCGGCCGACGGCGGCAGTCGGGCGCCTCGCCCCGCCCCATCCCGCCGTCGCAGTCGCAGGCCGTGCAGCCGTCCGTGCTGCTGCCGAGGGTGGCGACGAGCTCGTGATCCGCCACCGCGCTGCTCTGCGGTTGCTGTACGCCGGGCGTGCCCATCCCACCCCGTCGGGCCCAAGATCGCAGGCCTAGAAGTTGACACAAACACCAAGGTCGGCGGTGTGCCTCCACCGAGGGACGAAGATCCCGATCTCGGTGATGGTGGTGATATTTTTGGTTTCCAAGGTGACCGAAGTATTACCATCAACACCGAAATCTAGGATCATTCCCTCTGTGGAGGCAACCCCTGTGTTGGTGTTGGTGCCCATTTCCCGACCACCCACAAGATGCGCTCGCCATGTGCTGAAGGCCACCTGGCCCTGGGAACATGCAGAATGCCATAGGCCCCGCAGTTGCGGAGGAGAGTGCGGGCCGGGGGCGCGCCGACCCGGGTCACCGCTATAGCCCAGGTCAGACATGGCCATGCCCCGAACCTCCTCCTCCTCCTCCTCCTCCTCTTCCTCCTCCGCCTCCTCCGCCTCCTCCTCCTCCTCCTCCTCCTCCTCCTCAGCCTCCTCCGCCTCCGCCTCCTCCTCCTCCTCCTCCTCCTCCTCCTCCTCCTCCTCCTCCTCCTCCTCCTCCTCCTCCTCCTCCTCCTCCTCCTCCCCTCAAGCCTTTACGGCTCAGGCGCATTCTGCACCACCTGAGCTGCCCCAGTACCTTCCCGTGGTGCTTGAGGAATTTCCCCGCAGCAAAACCAGTTTCTCGCTCTTGGGGTCAACCAGAGCTGCGGCTCATGACGTCCCCTGCCCGTCGCTCGAACAGGCTTTGGCGCAGATGCAAGGCCTGCCACGCATGCGAGTACAATGACCGGCTCGACCCAGATCAGCCGCAATGTCCCCGCTGCAGTCGGCCAACAAGGATTCATCGTGCAGGACGCTCGAGATCGCCGTCGGTGGTGCGGTTCATCGAGCAAGCCGAGGTCATTGCCAGCGACGGGTCCACCACCACCCAGCGCGGGGGCCGAGGCTCATCGCGCAGCCGCGGCGACCGTGACCACAGCGGCAGCCACAGTGGCGACCACCTGTCCGTCCATCTACGACAGGCTCTCGCTGCCGCCGAGGACCCGCAGCTGAAGGGCCTTCTGCAGGCGCAGCTCGCACAGCTCGCTGTCACTGCCGACAACGCAGCGCAGCCCCGTGGGTCCGAGGTTGAGTGCATGCGCCAAGCGGATGGAGCTTGGCGCGCCGCGGTCAACCGACACACGCAGATGGTCAACAATGTGATCAAGCTCCGTCCCAGCCTGGCCGCGGCAGAGGCCAAGGAGGCCGAAGCCGCCATGCAGGTGGCCAAGACGGAGTCCGTGAAGAAGAAGGCAGCCGAGGCACTCGCCAGAGCCGAGGGCATCGGCAGCTCCGAGGCGGGGCAGTCGCCGCAGGAGCGACAGGCCGCCTTCACCGTGACCTGGGATCAGGGCCTGTTCGCGGAGGTCGCCGACCTCGACTTCGAGGAGGGCGAGAAGGCCGAGCTCGAGTGGATCGAGGCTGGGCCCGAGGAACCCAAGAAGCAGTTCGACACCAAGGAACCGCAGGTCAGGGAGCTGATCGAGCGGGCGCGCACCGTCCGCAGGTTGCAGGAGGAGCGGACCAAGAAGAAGCGCAAGGGCGACAACGGCCAGGCTGCCCCCGCCCCCTCTGCCGAGCCGACTGGCGCCGCTGGCGCAGGCACGGGCGCAGGGGAGGCGGCCAGCGGCGGCGACGGCGCCGCCCACCAAGCAGCCGTCGCGGAGGAGGCGCTGAAGGCTGAGGCGACGAGGCTATCGGCAGCACGCTTCACCGCCCAGCAGGCGATCGGCAAGGGCAAGGGCGGCAAGGGCGGCGGCGTCGGCAGCCAAACGAGAGCCGCCTCATCTTGACTAGGTTCCGAACCCAGTCAAGCCGTCGCTCCTGGCGACGAGGCGGCTGCCACAAGCCGCAGTACCCGTACTAGTACATTGTTCTACAGCAGCGTCACGTGCATGGGCGGCAGGTGCTGGGAGTACCTGAGCAGTTGCCCTGACGACTACATAGGCCTCGTTGAGACGCACATCTCGTCAGCTGATGTGGGCAGCTGGCAGTCTCGCGCGAGGAAGGAGCGCATGAGGATGGTCTGCAATCACGCACGGCCTTCACGGCATGGGCATCCTGATGGGTGGACTGGTGATTCGTGCGAATCGTCCGCAGGACACGCCAACGAGGGCGGTGAGTGTTTTCTTTCCAAGGGGCACTTGCAGACACACGTGCTGCACGAGGGTGTCCAGTCCGCAGCTCTGCAGGCTAGGCCGTCCACCAGCGTGGGCGGATTCCTCCCGGTAGTGTTGCATTTTTGCGGTTCTTCCATCGTTGTAATATTGTTCTACGGATTTTGTGGTATAGGCCTCGCGGGCCCAACCTCACCCGATTTCGAAGGCTCGGCAGCCTCCTGAGATCCCTCCAACTCCCCTGGGCCGTCGTCGGGGACTGGAATGTCTCGCCACAGGTCCTCGCGGCCTCGTTTTTTTTTGGGGGGGGGCAACAGGTTGGAGGTGAGATCAGGTGCGCCGATGTAGAGCACACCTGTGGCCCTGGGGGCGGGCGTAAGCCATCGCATCTGGACTGCGTGGTGCACTGCGCTGCTGCCCGTGCGTACGTCTCCCAGGTCACCGCGGTGCACGACGCGCCGTGGAAGCCACGCCTTGCCTTAAGAATTCATTTCGTCGCCGAGTGAGAACAGTTGCTCACTCGCATTGTCGATCTCCCGCGGCGGCTCCCGAGCGTGGCCCGGCCTGTCCAGGCCCCCGCTGCAGGGTCCAAGTCTAGTATAGCCAGGGCTAAGAGGGCCGAGCAGACTGCAAAGGCAGTCGAACGTCGAACGTAAAGAGAAACTTCATTCAGTTTTAGTTGGAGATTTGTGGACGGCCGACGCAGGCAACGAGCGAGAGGGCCAGTCCACTTGTGCCGACGATCGGTCCGATCATGAATCGCAGGCCGAGTTCGAGCCCGAGGAAGATCCCTGGGCCGACGACAGTGTTTTTTCAGTGCCGTCGCGAGCCTCAGGTCGCGCCGAGCATGGAGGAACACCAGGCTTTGGAACTCCCTCCACCCCCACCGCTTCAGTCTGCCAGCATCGATGTCGGAACGTCTCACTCAGCCCAGTGTGAGAACCCCCTACTTACCTAGGGAGTCCCAGGGGCCGGAGTCTGCCAGCACAGATAGCGCATCTCGGCCCAGTTTCGGTATCCCGAAAGATGTCTGGGATGGGCATCGTATGCGAATAGGTCTTCTGCCCCCCCACCCCACTCGGCCTGCCGCTGCTGCGGCGTCCTCCGCTGCCTTTTCGCTCAAGCCTGATATCTCTTGTCAGCTCGGGCAGCTCTACGGCTCCTGGGTTGCATCAGTTGAGGCCACTGTCCACGCGCACCATAATCAGGCCATCCTCGGCGGCTCTCGCGCAGAAGGGCCAGAGTTTCGTGTGGTACCAGTTCGGGGGCAGCAGAGCAAGCGGTGTGCAGCGCTGAGGGACCTCAGCAGTTCGCGGTGGACCAGGCTGCACACCATCCTTCAGAACATTTACAGGCACAGGGCGAGGGGCCACGGGCAGCGGCAGCTGGACCAGCTCTACGCGTGCGTCGAGAAGCCCACGGCCAACGCGCCTAGCCAGGTCCCAGGACAGCTGCGGCATCGGGACGGAGTACGGTGGGTACAGTGGGCCGGTTTCCTCGGCCGAATCCGTGCTGCAGCCGACGTCGAGGTCGTGAACTACACCAGCAAGGCAGCTGCCGTCGCGCGCCGCGCGCAGCAGCGGGCAGTGAGGAAGTCCCTCCGTGACTTCCGCGAGTGGGCAGTCACGGAGCCTGCCGTCGGAGCGCTGCATAGGTCACTACGGCCTCAGCATCAGCCAGCTGAGTCTGTCGTCACCGAGGCGGGCACCCTCGTCCATCCACGTGGCTTGATCGATCGGAAGGTCAGCACCTGGGCCGAGCTGCGGGCGCCGCGGGCCCCCGACAGCGCTGGTCTGGGAGCTCTTTTCGACGCCATCCGACAGCGCATCCAGGAGGGGGGCCTGCCACCACTCACGGCGCAGGACGTGAGGCAAGGGCTCCGGCGCCAGCGGGCATCCACTTCCATGGGCGCTGATAGGCTAAGGCCGACTGACCTTCTCAGGCTGCCCGACCCAGCGCTGGAGGAGCTCGCCACCATCCTCAACCTCGTCGAGCAGACGCAGACTTGGCCCCATCAACTCCTCCTCGCAGCGGGGGTTATGAGGGCCAAGAAGGATGGGGGCGATCGTATTATTGGAATTTTACCAGAGATTGCCAGACTGTGGCCCATGTGCCGCGAGGACGCAGTGCAGGAGTGGAACATGGAGTGTTTCGCGCGCTGGGGCGCGGCGGCCAAGGGGAACTCAGCGCTGCGGGAGGCGTGCCAGCGAGCACTGCATGAGGAGCTCGCAGCGTACGTCCAGACATCCCAGGCCCACGGCCTACTAGACGTGGCGCAGTTCTACGACAGCATCGAGTGGTGCAAGCTGGGCGAGGAAGCGCTCGAGGTTGACTTCCCACCATGAGGGCCCACGTTCAGTCCTCGCCCGGACTCACGGGCACGCGAGAGACATTCGTGGCCACGTATCTCGTGCGCCGCCACGTATCGTGCGCGGCCAGGCATCGCGCGCGCCTCCGGGGCCCCCTCATTCGCAGGGGCCCCGATCGCAGGGCCTGCCCTGCAGAGGATTCCACCTCGGCCCAGCAGACCTGGGAAAGCCAAAACTCGATTCACCGCCGCCCTCCTCCGCTGTAAATTCTCCCCCATCCAAGCCAATCCAAATCCCGGGGCATGGGCGCGCGACAGAGGGGGGGGGAGCTACTTGGGGGGGGCGCGGCGGCGATGCGAGTTCTGAACCCCCCCCCCATTGCATTCTTGAAATACCGATAAATGACGGCATCAACCCCGAAGCGATTATACTTCCAATTGCAGTTCGCCAGCGAGCGGAGGCCCGAGGTCACAAGGTTTGCGCCCTAGGAGGGGTGGGGGAGGACAAGGATGAGAGGATGGGATGGAGGAGAACGAGAAGGGGGGCGAGCAGGAACAGGAAAGAGGGGATGGGCCTGGCAGATCCCCGAAATCCGAATGCGCCCGTGGCGCGCCGCTCGCTCCTCTGGGCCCCGGGGAATTTCACCAAGGGTCGCCGTGGGCGGCGGGGGC